ACAAATTTATGCAATTTCAAAAAGAAAAACAAACGAAGTTGATTGATTGAAATTTTATTTATTGGGGATGGACAATAATTAAAATTACAATTGGACACCTAAACATTGAATAGTTGATTCCACATTCTAGGCTCGTCTTAGTCTGTTAGTTAGGAGATTTAACTATCAATCAGGAGATTCTCTGCAACGTTTGAGCTCCTTGTTGAATTAATTTGTGCTATTAAGTTTATCTTAATGACCTAAATGTCCGCCGAAATAGTAATAATTAATTGATCCATGGCCTCCGACATAACAACAACTAGTGCGAGCATCTTTATGATACGAAGTTCTTTCTATAAACTTTTTGTTAATATGTAGTGCCTTATGCCTTATCATATAAAATTTCGCCTCAATTGACTGCCTTTAGGATAGGGCTAGCCAGTACCTCTCACTTCTATAAGAGGCTCCTCGGAGTTAAAGGATTTCGGAAGATCACGTGAATTTTGAAGCATTACCAAATTCAAGCCTATATACATCCACGAATTCATTAATTATAATGCAATTTTTTGCTCACATGTACAATACAACATTAAAGCAATTTTTCTCCAAGTACTACTAAACAATAATAGTAATTATAAAATGAAAAATATTGTTATTATATTTTTTAGATAAATTCAATTATTTTAATGTATATGTTAGATTAGAACTAATTCTTGCCATGTTATACATCTATTAAGTGAAATTGAAAAAAAATTAATGACAAACTCTCATTTATTAAGTGTAAACTTGAAGTATATTTAAAAATCATTTAAAATTAAGATTTATGTTAATATATTTTATCTATTTCATTATCAACTTTAATATCATAATCGAATTCATAATTGAATAAAAAAGACTTGATATTATTTTTATTATATGATTTTTAAAATTATTGAATTTACTCTGAGATTAATGCTACATTAGAAAAATCATTATACTTCTACTATAAAATAATCATTAGAAATTTTTCACAAAGATATATTTTTCAATAATCTTCACGTAATTGGGTGTAATTTCATCAGTGGCCCGCCACTTAAAAAGCGGTTGATCCAAAAAACCGGCTAAAACAACTATCATAACAGAGCCAATCATAGCGAACTATATAAGAATAATTTAATTCCGCATGCACATAATTACAAACTTTATTACGAAGGAAAACTAAGGAAAGACAACTTTTACATTCCAATCATCATCTTTACATGAAATTACAACCGACTCATTTGTAAAAAAAAAAAAAGTACTCAAAGGCATCCACATTTTAGTAGTACCAATAAACAAAGAAGAAAAATTATGTAAAATTAAAAACTAGTCAATCAAACTTAATCGAAAAACCCTAAGCCCTGTTTTTACCTCTCAAGGTCAATGTTCCTCATCTCCCTTTCCAGACTGACAAAGCTCCGCTTCTCCGACTCCAAATCAAAATCCTCCGATTCATCGTCTTCCCCTCCGGCCTTCAAATATTCCGCCTCTACCGCATATCTCCGGCTAAAAACAAGATAAAACAGCAACGAAGAAGCGACGACGGCGGCAAGAATCCAACTGAATTCAATATTCACCAAGGATTTAGCTCGTTGAAGAGCTTCCTCGCTCCTGCATCGAACCACCGTGTGTCCTTCCTCTTGATTCATGAAACAGCCTTTCGGAATCAGCCCCGGCGTCCACAACGCGTATCCCATCACCACAAACCAAATCCCCTGCAAAGCAATACTCGTCGATCTGGTGAACCCTACCGCGAAGCTGCGGGGGTGGCTGATTCCCATGATTGTTGTGATAAGTGAGACGGCGATGACGAGCTGTAGGAGCGAATGGTATTGTCCTTCGACCCCCATGTGGTCCGAGGAATGGAGGTGGAAAAGGAAAAGCTGCTGAGCGAAGGCGGCGGAGGCGGTGAGGATTGTGAGGGGCTCGGCGGCCGGGCGGGCGGGTCGGGCCAAGTCGAAGATTACGGCGAAGGCGGAGTAGAGGAGGAAGGTGAGGGAGATGGAAGCGTGTTCGAAGTTGTGGAGATGGTTGGAGGGGATGGTGTGATCGTGGTCGAGGGGTTGATGGCTTTCAGGGCCGATGAAGAGTTCCATGGCGATGGAGATGCAGGAGCCGATGGCAATCAGGAGGAGCTCGAGGTGGCGGAGCTTGGGGAAGGGGAACCAGGGGAGGGAGCGGTAGGATTTGGGATGGAGGGAGAAGAGTTTGATGTGGTTGAAGAGATGCCATAGGCCGATAAGCAGGAAGCCGAAGCCGGGGGCGACATGGCCAATTAAGGTTCCCATGGATTGAGTTTAAGGTGACTGAAGCAGAAGGAATGGAGAATAGGGTCTTGTGTTAATTTAGGGTTTCGGAAAGTTGCGAGGCTCGCAAGGGAGACTGAGGTGTTTGGGATTTAAAGAGGAGAATGGAGGGAAAGAGGAACTAAGGGTTGTTGAGGAAATGAAGGGGAGGAGGAGAAGCAGATGGTCCAGATTCTCTCTAGAGTGTTCCTAGAAGAAAAAAAGAACATTGACTTGGGCTTTTTTTGTTTTTTCATATTTTAGTTTTTTATTTTTTATCTTTTATCTTCGATCGGAAGATTGGTTTTTATGTCCTCTGTCGTTTGTTGTTGTTGTAAAATCTTAAGTAAAAATATTTAATATTTAATCTGAATTTTATTTAGCATATAATAAATTTTTAACATTTAATTTAGAAAATATATTTTAAATGTTTAAAATTTTATTAAAAGATATTATAACTTGAATATAAATTTTAATTTTATTGTTAGTTAAAATTTATTTATATTCTGAACTAATTTTTTTCTCTTAACTCTCTGGATTTGGAAAATTTTTATTAGGACATTTTGCTCAAACTTTTAATATTTTTGAATTTATTTAAAAATAAGTATAATATAAACTATTTATGAATTATATTTATTTTCTTAAAATTTGAAAAACTTTCTCACTCTATTTTTAATTAAATTGTAATCATGATATTCTCATATATATTTATATTTCCTTAGATTAGGTAGGGAGCTTTGACTTAAATTACTTAATGAGAAGATTAGTTTTTTTTGTCAAAGTTTAGAGACCTGCTTATATAAGCAACCAAATTGGGACGGTTTCTGTGGGCAGGAGCTTTGATTGCATGAGCTTACAACAGATTAGACGGAAAGAGCCAAACATTCTAGATGGCTTGATCGCGTGGCTTCGACGCCGTCAGGGGGCCGCTGCGCTCCCGTTAAATGCATTGTTCTAAATTTTATATTTTATTTTTTGAGATTTTCTATCACCAATTATAAAACTTATATAAAGAATTATCTAGAAAATATGTCAGTTCAATTCAAGACAGGTCGGCCTAATTCAAATCATGTCGATCAAGTTCAATCTAAGTTTGTTCAATTTCTACCTAAGAGAAATTCGTCAGGTTCACTAATGAACTTGCGCCAAACAGACGAATATGACTTATCAAGTCATCTTCGAATGGATAATTTGCTTTATAAAGGAAACTATTTATCAGCAATCATTTTACTTATACAATGTTAAGTCAGCAATTTCATAATAGCATGGCAGATAGCTTTCTCAAATATGATATTCTAATGACTTGGCAGTCTAACTTCATTAAATTACAATCTCTTTTTTTTGTGTGGATATTTAGGCTAATAAAGTCAAACTCACACACATATTGCATGCACAATGCTAGAACTCAAGACTTCTTAGTTGCTAACCAAAACTCCTAGCCTACTGATAAGGTTAAGTTGCATACGAGCTTATTTATATAAGAGAAATTGAGCTATACAGCTCTTGTAAATTTTCTTATAAATTAAGAGTAAGATGAATGGACTTTGGTAGCATAATTTTCCGTAATCAATTTTATTCTAATAAAGTTTTTTCACTATTTGCATTCAATGCTCTGTATATATAAGATTTGACGTGCGTCATGATTAATTTTGAATCCAACAAAAATATAATGCTACGACCTCGGGCTTAGGGCTTAGGGTTGGGAACCCCCCCCATGTTCAAATCCACTCTCATGACACATAACCCCTTAAGCAGGTCAGGAGAAAATAACTGCAAATCCTACACCTATGTGATACGTCGCTAAGTGCCTTATAAGGAGGGTGACAACATGTAGATAACCCTGTTCCTAATGTGTAGAAATTAATGCTCCTTCAAGAGTAGAGAATGGATCGTGGAAACAGCACAGAGAAAAGAGAATCTTGAAATGATTTTTTTATTATTGTTTATTCTAAGCACAGCAGGTGTATATATAGGAAATTTCGGTGGTTACATATAAGGCAATATAGAGAGCTATATCCTATTCTTCACCGGTCTTGATATTGTGCTCTAATATAATGTATATATATAATGTTGATATATTAATTATAGCATATCATGCTTGTATTGTAGAAACTATGAATTGAAAATAGATTAATTTTATTAATATGATACAAATATATATTAAAATATGGCATATTATATTAGGGCAAGTCAAAGCCTTACCTAAAATTAGTGAGCTCATTTGAAATGAACATTATGCTAAACTGAATGACATAATTTATCTTTTTTTAAAATTATGTGCAGTGCTATTATTTTAAGTGCAATTTCTTTTATTTTAAATAATCGATCTTATTTTAAGCCATAAATAAAGTATTTTGTTTTATTTTAATGAACACAATTTCTGTGAATTAGAATGCTATAATTTTTAGGTATATAATAATTTTCTATACAAGAAGAGTGAAGTAATAGTGAAAATGACTTCTAAATAAAGAAAAATGAAACTTTTTATAAATAATGCCAAAAATTCATTTATGCCTAAATAAACTCCATTACCGATAAAAAAGGACTTTTGTGGCCCTAATATTTAGGCATTTTTTTGGGCAGCTTAAAGCAACTATTGTTTCCTATTTTCAAAAAATATTTTAACCAAAAAAATAGCTTTATAAAATATTAAAAAAGTCATTCCAAATGAAGCCTTAGAGCATATCCAATGTAACGACAAACATCTTCCGTTTCTCCAACAGAGCGGTAATTTTGCCGCTATTTCATCGTGGGTGAACAATGCGACGTCAATATTGACGTCGCACTATTTACCAGCTAAATGTTTATGTGTCAATGGGATTTGCCCGAGAAATGGAGAAAGACGGTTGCGAGACGACGTAGCCCGCAAAATTGAGTTCGGTTGGAGCAGAATTACCGCATTTTGGAATTTTGATGTATTTTGCCGTGAAAAATAGGATTTTCAGTTGGAAATGCACTTAGCTTCTATGAAGATTTCACTTCTATAGTTAATAAGTTATTAAAAAAAAATTAAATCAAAATGAGCTAATGTGTCGAGTTTGGGTGATTCGGGTTGCTAGCAAGATAGATTCAGGTTGATTTTTTTGACCTGTTTATTAAATGGGTCAGGTTCGAATTAACTTAATTTGGGTTAGACCCAAATCAAAACAGCCAACCTATTTTGACACCCATAAGTGATATTGGGTCGGATTTTTATGATCCGTGATAAGCTTGGAGGATTTTATCATCAGCCTGCTGACCCAAACCGTAACCTCTAGCCCAGACGGTTACAACGACATTTCTACCCTTTTATCTATGTTTTAGCTACCTGGAAATTTCCTAGCGATAGTTTCCATTCAAGAACTTCGTTGAAGGTTGAAGTTCGAGAATCTTCGGAATGGCTTGGAAATTCGCCAAAGTGCGAGGGCTATTTAGGTAATTTAACAACATAGTTTGCTTTCCGTGGCGGTTAAGAAACCTCGTCTGAAGAGGAATGAAGGTTGCCTGGAGACAGGAAGCTCGGATATGTCATGTGATTTCGATGTTTTGAATGATGACCAATAATTAATTACGTCGTTTTTTTTTTGGGAAAAAAAAGACGGTGTAATTAATTATAAATAACATTGGATAGCCGTTTTTATTTGTTTTATTGGTGAACATAAAATGCAATTGGCCACGTGTACTATTTGTATTGTGTAGTTGGGAACTTGGGATTGGGTGGTTGCTAGGGGTGCAACCGAGTCAAGCCGACTCGGACTCGACTTGGTAACATGCTCGACGAGTCGAGCTTATCGAGCTCGAACACGAGTTCAAGCTCGAACATTCGTCAGACTCGACTCGTTGGCTCGACGAGCAACTCGATGGTGGAGCTCGCGGGAGAATCTCACGAGTGAAAAATCCAGAACAACGGTAGAGCACGAGCGGATCGACGCCTGACAAGCTCTGGACGACAGGCGGATGCGACTGGGAACTCAGGACGATGGATCTCGACGACATAGCTCGTCGGATCTCGGGACGACGGATCTTGAGTTCTTGACGACGGAGCTCAGGAAGATGACGGACGAGCTCATGATGTTGGTTCTCGACGGTGAATGATACGATTTCGGGTGGTTCGACAATGGATTCTACGAGTTCGGTTCTCGGCGGCGGATGCTACGACTTTGGGAGACGAATCTCAACGGCAGAGCTTGGATGACGACATACGTGACGACATGGGCGGAACTCGGGTCTTGAGATGACGGATGCAATGACGGTTACGACAGCAGAACTCGACGAGCCGCTTGACATGATGACAACTCGAGCTTGGATTTTGAACTCGACTCGAGTTCGAGCTCGAGCTCAGATTTTGATTGTCGAGCTAGACTCGAACACCCCTTGGCTCGAGCTCAACTCGACTCCTTTGCACCCCTAACGGTTGCTTTATTGTAGTAAAATATTAAAAAATAAGGTTTTTTCTTTATTAATTTGAAGTAAAATTAGTGGTTAAATTATTTAATTTTATAAGGCTTTTATTTTAAAATTGAAATCATGGCAATCAAATAATTTTGTTTTTATTTTCCAATTTTAATTTAGGAGCCTAAAAAAACAGTTAATTAAGGCTATATCGTAATTCATATTGGGCTCCCTCTAACAGATCAAGGACAAAAAATAAAAAGAAAGTTAGGGGCAATTTAGAACTCAACAAAGAACTCAGGAGTTACATTAGATCATCTAACTAGTCAAATTTAGCCCTGTAAGGATTGAACTCGGTAGCCTCAAAGATTAACTTATTAAAAAGAAATATTAATTATCATCTATTTTAAAATATGATTAATTTTTAAAAGTTTTAAATATTAAATTATTTCATTATTTATATAGTTAATTTTATTATTTATTATTATCATTATTTTTTAACAGTTTTATTAATATTATGTTATTATTTGAATTGAATTATCTTATCTCTTTTATAACAATAAGTTGATTGTTACGTCCTGAAATATTTGCGGCGGTGGAGAAATATAAAGTTTAGCGTCTTAGCTTTGTACGAAGATCCAGTACACAATCAGATAAGAGAGAGGGTGCAACATTTATAAAAGATACAAGAGATTTTTACGTGAAAAATCCTGAATACGGGAAAACTACGAAGTTTGGTCAAGTTTGAATGAATCCGCTAGTATTTGAAGTTGAATACAAATGTGGCCCTTCCTTGGGGGGAAAGCATTGGCTTGATGTACCAAATATATATCATATAGAAAGACTGTTGTCATGCGACGGAG